GATAGGGCGGACAGGAATATGATGGCCACAATCAGCTTCTGTTCCCGATCTGTCCGTCTTTGCCACCAATTCTCTCGATGAGTGAATCTATTCATACAATATATTACTAGACATTAGATTACATGATAAGTTAGATGATAATGATTTTTGATGGGCACTTACGCTGTCGGCGGTATCTCCGGCTGAGACTGATTGATATAAGAGCTGCTGTCTGTAAATTGCATCGACATATTTGACAACTTTTTACAATTACTTGTTTTGTTGATTTATAACTTTAAATATCAGTATTTAGTTTTGACAATTAGTGCCCGAGATGTTTTAATAACAAATTTCGCAGTACTTTATAATTATTAGTTATTGTCTCATTGAATGACAAACGCTTTCATATAAATGAAAATTTTACTGTAATGTTAATAATTAATATATAATCTGGAAATATGATGATTATTGTCATTAACGACAATCATATTTTTGAATACCAATGGCTTGAATGTATAGCTGTGCTGTTCGTAACCCATTGTCGTATTCATACCAAAACCTAATTGTTTGCTTTTATTGTATTTAAAACTTCTCACTCTTTCTTATCAACAATTCAAGTGTTATTTAATTTACTGTTGTTTGAGTTCAACGATTGAATTCATATCTGTTTTATCGTAAGGTTTTTGAATTTTATTGATATTTTCATACTTTGTTTCTCCACAAAAGTTTGTATTATTAATTATATTAGAGATTAATACTAGTTTGGCATTAAATTTAATTATTTTGATTGATTGTAAGTGTTGTCTCTTTACTGGGAGTTATTTCAAGTGTTATTCCAATTTGATGTTACATGTACATTTATATTTTAAAAATACATTACATTAATTATACAAGGATTTTAATACAATAATGTAATGTCTATAATAACAGTAATGCGATACTTAAATTTAAACATTGTTTTCATAATTATGAATAACCAAATTATTTAACTCATTATAAATTAGATTTTTTTAATCAATCACTTAAGTATTAAATTGTTAATAAGAATTGTCTCTTATTATGAAATACACTTAAAGATTGTCAATAAATGCTAATATATTGTTGTGACCAAAGAATATTCGTTAGAAGAATCCCAGAATTTACTGACGTCTCACAATAATATTAAATTTTATTTTTATGATCAAAACATTTTATTAAAATTACAATAAATGTACATTTTATTGTTTAATTATCAAAAATCTGATCACTTGATTGGACGGCAAATTTATTATACTTTTTTATTTATGAAATTTATAACAATTGCAATAAAAACAAATTTTACATAATTGTACAATTAAACAACTAAACTAATGAACTTTTTTTAAAAAAATTTAAGTAACAATTATTAAAATTATAAAAATGAGTTTCATTTGAAATTAGATTTTTAGCAGTCAATCGGACTATTCATCACTGATTTTAAGTTACAATTGAAAGTTTTTGAAAATTGTTTTATGTTTGATAAAACCAAGTTGGCACTAAAAACAAATCAAGTTAAATTAACTGTATAATTAATTTTATAAATTGTATAATTAATTAATTATTCATTTACCCAAATTTTGTCGTATCATAGGAATAGTTATAACTAATATCATATCGATTAGTGTAATAAGTATTGACAGCAGAGATCCAAAACATTTGTTCAGATGTGTTGTTGAGACCAATTAAACCAAATTCTGGTATCAATTGTTGTTTAACGTCAGCCATATATGACATGTATGTTAGTCTAAATACTATCATATCTATTATATAACGCCTAATCAAATCGATACGATTTGTGTCATTAATTTCGACAACTATTTTATCAAAGTTTTCAATTTTATCGGCAAAACACTTGGCCGTCATATTAAATACATTGTCTGACTCCCGGTCCCATCCCTGGCCATAGCCATCCCTGTCATTATAGGGGTTAGTATTGTCCAACACTTTGAGCATTTGTTGTGCGATCAATACACCAAACTGTCCATAATTTAATGCCCTCGACAATAGAAAGTGATGAAATATATATTGAATCAATAAAAACGTAATGAAATTATGATAATTGACTGTCAATTCCTATGGAAACCGGACAATCGCTTCACATTTATCTTACTCTCAAAAAACTGATTTATTAAATGCTGTCAAAAAAGCGATTGTTATTCTATACGAGTTTGTTATTTATTTAATTAAGTTTTGTTTGATTTGATAGCAAATGAAAAGTAATACTTCGGCACATCTTCTTTGTAGAGACCATTGATTACTAGATCTGATATGAAGAATGTGTTGTCTTCTGGTTTATATGTGAAGATAATATCGGCTGGATTTACATCTCGCTGTAAATTCCTATAAATCAATTTGGATTTTATTTTAAAATCATTGATATAATTAATTGATAATGACTTACATTTTTAAATTATCGCTCTGTATATCAATAAATAGTCTCTCCATTTGTCTGTCGACTGAAAATTGATTTAATTTCAAAGTATTTTCATAATATTCTTTGGAAATATTGACCTAAAGTTTCACAAAAAGTGCCGCAAATAAAATTAATTGATTAGATTTTGGTCTCATTTCTCAATTTCACATTTCATCTCAAATATTAATAATAAGCTTTATTTGATTTAAAGTAAAAAATGTTTGAATCAAACGAAATGTTTCTTATTTAATGAATTATATAAAGAAATAATAATAACTATCATATAATACATACATTTGTGAGCCAATTGTCCATTTGGTTTTCATCGAGCAATTCCTGTGGAAATCCTATCCTTAATGCCATTAATTTTATTTTTTCATTTATTTTATACTTCATTCCATCGCTCATCCATTTATTATTGTCAACCAATTCAATGAATGCTTTTTTCATGTTATTAATCATTAAAATAACCTTTCGGTTTGTGATAGAGGAAAAGTTAGTTAATTAATTACTAAAACAAATACCAAAATTATTGTATTATTTTTGGTTATGATTGTTATGATTGTTTAGAAACGAACCTCAATTTCGTTTCTTCCACTCGTTTTATGTTTGAGATAAATATTTCCCAATTCTAACGGCATATAAGCCTCTATTTGTTTGAGACAAGTTTGCCATCGATTTTCTTTGGCAACATTTCCATCACGTTTTATCAAATATGTTTCCAATGATTTTCTCCATCTTTTGCTCATTAATGGTATGGATTGATAGATAACTCTCCAAATCAGATAATTAGCCACAACTCTATTATGAGTACATAAAGTATTGGGATATTAATCATTATTTTCGTTAATCACAATTTAATTCACTCAAAATGACAACACATTTAGTTGACAGCAAAAGTAACTATATTTTCCCAGTAATTATGATTTAAGCTTACTTTCTTAAATTATAAAAAGCATTATTATTATATTGATAATTACAAGAACTCATACCTAGAATCAGTTGTACTGAGTTTCTGATTAAGCCTTTGGATATATGGACGGACACGAACTAAAACTTCAGTGTCGTAAGTGATGTTGTGTTTAAATTGTCCAGGTATGTTTGTGAATTCTGTCAGTAATTGAAACCAATCAATCTGTAGAAAATATATTTATAAAACCAATACATAACATAAAACTTGTATTTTAAAACATTACATACATTGGGAGACAATTTCTCAATCTGTCTAATTGTCATATAATTATTAGTATTATAATGAGTGGTGTTTTGTTGATTTTTAGGTGAGAGTGAAAACTATAAATTAAATTAAATTACACTAATTAAAACAGTTATTATAATATAATTAAAACACAATAAAATGATGTATACACTAATGAGCTCCTTTTCAAACATGAACACTCTATACAAATCATTTCTGGCATCCGATTTGTCTGCGCCCATCATTTCTGCCATTTCCATCATTAGATCTGAATATTGTTTGGATTGATCGGCGTTTTCAATGTTGAGCCCAAACTCCGGGCCCGCGATCTGCGCTATAAAACGGGATCCGTTTCGCACGTCTTTCTCCACCCGAATGCTTATCAATGAATTAGTGATGAGTCCTATCTTTCTCATCATTACATAAGTGTTGATCCAATTGAACCGATGGCCCTCTTGAGGCCATTTGCTCACTGGCCATCCAACTACTGGCCATCCGCCCAACTCATCCACAATCTTCGTCAATGGCTTTATATCCAATTCTCCGATGAGATCTTTTGTGGTAAATATGATATAAAAATGACAAATAATGACAAATTAATTCTCGCTCAACTAATACCTTCGTTGAGGCAACTGTTGTAATACATGATTAGTTTTTGAATATATTTTCGTTGTTTATCAGCGTTTAGTGATTCAATGAGATCTGATTATAATTTATTGATTAAAAATTTCAATGTTAAAGTTTACGAATCGATTTAAAATAATTTTCAAAATATAATCACTTTTAATTTGAAGCATCGATTTATAATGAATTTGTTTTATAAAATTATTATCATTTTGTTGATTAAAATAATGACCGCCAGAATATTCGTAGAAATCATTGCATGGATTGATATTTGTATTCAAATTGTTCAGTATATAAGCCGCTATTTTTATATTTAAAAAAATAAAATTATTAATAAGCAACTTTGTAAAGTAGATTTTACAATATTACGTTTAGATAATTTTTATTGTGAAATTATAGTAAACATACCAGATATAATACAATTAGTGGCATGGCACTTTTTCTCATTACGTGAGACACAAGTATAATCCTTTTGAAACAAATAATACGAGCAAACAATTAGTATTCCGAGTAATATAACACAAATAAAGCCAAACAGTTTGGTGTAGTTTCGTCTCTTTCTTCTCGACCCCCGATTAGGACTTTAATTATTAAATTAAAAATTTATAAAAATAATTAGTGCATAACTATTTCAGTACACGATTCTTACCTCATATCCAAATCATTAATTTTATTATAATCTGCGGGAAGGGGTCTATTCGTCCGGGTATTGGGTTTAGTACTCATGTTTGGGCGACAATTAATTCCTAATTAATTATATTAAATAATATTTAACAATAAAAATTTAATTATTGAAAAAAATATCATAGACTTAACTCTCAGAGGTACACATTTAAGTGTTAGAAAAAATAATGTAGAATTTGTTCATTGAAAAAATAAACAAACATTTAAAGTCTAACGTGTATTGAATTTCAGTGCGAAAAAAAGTTATTGAATTGAATGAAAATATGTATAAATATCACTTTCGATAGATATGTTGCGATTATAATGTTATCGTATGATTACAAACATAAATAGAGATCTCATTTATGTAATAAAAGTGTCAAACGATTGCGTGACTGAATCTAAATTAAATACATGTCTCGATGGAGAGGGGAGAGAGAGAGAGAGAGAGAGAGAGAGAGAGAGAGAGAGAAAAGATCAACAATTTTTTATATAACTTTATATTACATTACAATGAGGGGCACAATTCGTGCAAAACTAATGTTTCAAATATTTGTATGCAGAATTCATGTAACATTAATGCCTACATTTATATAACATTTTAAACTACAATTCAGTGTGAATATTATAGTTTATAGGATCACTCTTTTATTATTGTTTATTATTTTTACAAACTATGAAAACATTTGCGGTCATAATGTGTTCAGATATTTAATCCGAAATTGAAATGTCCAACTATTATAGCAAAACCATATCTATGTATGGATTTATATGTATAGATATTTGTGTTGAAATTAATATAAATGTTTTAAATAATATTATGAGTTTGTTGTTGTAATTGTAAAATATAAATTTTCTGATCAATTTTTAACATTAATTACCGATATGTTTAATAATAGGACTCAAAAAGTTAAATATAACAATTGTATGTCTAATGATATTCAAGTTAGTTCTGGAGTAATCCAGGGTTCGGCAATATCTCAGGATTTATTCAGTATATATTTATCTGATTTAAATGTTGGCATTAAATCATCTATTTATCAATTCTGTGATGATATTTGTTTAGCAAAAGTAATTAAGAGTAATAATGACATATCATGTCTTCAATCAGATTTAGATATGATTTATAACTATTGTATCGATAATTCATTGACACTAAATCCAGACAAATCAGAATTCATGAGAATATCATTGAAACACTGTTTAACAGACAATTCATATGAAATCAATGGCAAAACTATTAAATCAGTTGTACATCACAAACACATCGGAATTATATACGATAACAAATTGACATTTAATTTGCATATTAATTCAATTGTAAATAAGGCTATTAAGAAATTTTCTATGTTAAAAATAATATGTAATAAAGTTCATGGAAAGGCATTTTTAAAATTGTATATAACTTATATATTGCCAATTCTTGAATTTTCTAACCTATCATTTGTACCAAATATTACACAAACAAAAAGTATTGAAAAAGTGCAGAAAAAGGTTACGAAATACATTTGCTTTAAATTAGGTCATAATGATATGTCTTATGAAAATAGACTACAATTTTTACAAATTTTTACACTTGAAAAAAGACGAAATATTCAGATTTTAAAATACATTTTTAAACTTAAAACGAAATCATTTAAAGTATATAATAAATGGTATAATGAATTGAGTTTTTATGAAAATTCACGAAATGGCACTTTTGTTAAAATACCTAATATTAGAATCAATTTAATTAGAAAAGAGTTTTTTATTAATTGTATAAAACTATTTAACGAATTACCCAAAGATATTAGATGTGAAAACAATTTTACTAAATATGTAAATAAATTAAACGACTATTTGTAATACTCATGTATTTTTTAAAACAAGTTTTTAAATAAAGAATATTATTATTATTATATATGGGAAGTGTTTGTATTTTATTTCTTGACTAGAAAACAAAGTGAACGCAAATCTATCGACAAATGATTATAATATTGTTTGTTATCGTTTCAATCATAAGAGACATAAAACTAACAGCGAATTCACAATTCCTATAAATACTAACTCTTCTAATAATGTATTCTTCAAGACTTGAATTTTGATTATTAATTGAATACAACGTTAGAGAAAAGGCATTATAAGAGCAAAATGTAATCACTTTTTGAAAAGGAGTGAACATATTATCGACTATTGTTTGCGAGTCTTTTGTTGTATTAAACCAATACTTCCGGATATCTTTAGCGTTCACTAAATAATGTGTGATTTTGGTCTGATTTATGATTTCATAAATTGATTTTATGCCATAACTCTTATAATACATAATAGATTCTGCAGATTATGAACATTCAAAATGCGGTTCAATCTATAATCACATTAATTTACTTATTACGGTATTATATTTTAAATAAGCACTTAATCTAATGTTTACAAATGCCATAAATTAATAATAATATAACAATAATATAAGCACTTTAATAATATACAGACAAATCAATTTTTAATGACAAATATATCAATTATTATAAGAATATGCAAATGAATTGATAGAAGATAAATATTATATCAGTTTATTTATTTATTAAACCAATAAATCATTATCAATATAAAAGTAAAGCAACAAAAAACTAACAAATATATGATTTGGAAAACATTAGCGAGAATTTGAATTTGTTTTTAGTCTTTAGGTTCTGTTAAGCAGTGAATTGACGGCAAAAATATCGATCGTAACACTTATTTGGGAATATTATTATCGCCACAACTAATGAGAGCATGGATTTAATGATAACACCTTTTCTGACAATTGCTTTCCAAAGTTTGCGACAATTTAGGCGATTATTACATAAAATACTGTGTAATATGTATTTTGAATGCACTTTTAGTGAATACAGTCGTCAGCGAATCGGATGTGAAATACAATTAGTTTTGAAAATTTGTGTTTTAATAACTAAACCATTGTATGGATTAAGACTAAACCATTGTATGGTCGTAACCAATCAAATCACAAATTGCTTTTTTGTCTCCAATTCTCGGATATTATTTGTAATTCTTTAGAGAATTTTATGAGAAGTTCATAAAAGTTAGTCTATTGTTGTGAAAGCAGTCGACGATTAAACGAATAAATAGTAAATAACTTTTTTAAAGTTAACTGTAAAATGTATCGATGTTTTTGATGATTACATGTCTTGTAATGTTTGCTGTTTTTGGCAAAAATATTAGAAATGATTGTCGCAAAGAATATCTACAATAGATATATAACTGTCTAATATTTAACTGTTTTTTCATTTAATTGGAGTCATAAACGTATTATAAGACAGACTTTAAATGTCAAACCATTTCAATTGAACACTAGATTTCTTATACAAAAAGATCTTTCTTCT